CACACACACACACACACTTTTTGATCAGTCTCCCCATTTTGCAGCCAGTAAGCTGCAGCCTGAGAAGAGGCATATGGAACGAGCTGCCTCAGCATCCAAAAGAGAGAGAGAGGGAGATGGGGAGAAACAGAGAGGGGAGGTGCTGGGTGCTATCGGAGTGAGAGAGGGAGAGCGTCAGAGTGTTCTAGACTGCACAGCGGCAGCCGCGTTGCATCTCGGCAGAGGATAGGAAGAGTGAAGGAGGAAGGAGAACAGAATCATCCGCCAGAGGAAGACACTGAGGGAGAGGAGCTGCTGCCACCAGCCTCTCCCTGCTCTCTGTGGATGATCTGCTGCTCTGCTGTCTGCTGCTGTCTGCTGCTCTGCTTTAATCGATCACTGCTGCTAAAGCCACCGGGATTACTGTTGTTGTGACTGCTGCTGGTAGAGTGTTCTGCCTCTGACCTGCTCCCACTCTCTGTCTGCCTCACAGTTGGGCTTCAGTATACAGAGCTGCTCTACTGCTGACTCCCAGCTGCAAGGATACAGCATCTTTGACCTCAAATGTATTTATTGTCCAATCAGAGGTCCACCAAGGTGAATTTGGTGCTTCAGTGAGCCCTGTCATCGTCTGTACCCCCCTAAACCTCCTGGTCCCTGTTGAGGCACTGGGCCATGATCTGGGGGGGCCATGAGCCCCGGGTGTATGCTGCTGTTTGTTTTTGGCTTTGTAGGGGGAGCGGTGGTCATCAACTCTGCCGTACTGGTCTCTCTGTCAGTGCTGCTGCTGGTTCACTACTCTGTCTCTACCGGCGGCTTACCTGCCCTGCCTTCCTTACCCTCCTTACCCAGACCCAACAGGTATAACATATATGTGTGTGTACGTTATCTTAATGTATTTTCCCTGCTGTTATCTGTGTTTGTAGCCGCTGTCAGTTTGTAGCTATGCAGTCGCAGCGGTTGCTGCCATGTGGGTGTGTTAGACAGACTGTGAGACTGCAAACTAAAAGTAGGTCAAGAGAGAGATGGGAAAAATGGCAGAGTCATACCTGGAAAACTACACCACCTTAGACATTTCAATTTCACCAGAGTTTATAGCAGTTTATGATTATTGTCATTATTTAGTTTTTTAAAATCTTTTTAAGATAAAACTGCAGTGGAGAACTGATAGTGAGCATGTGATTTTTCCCTCAGTAGGGATAACAAAAGGCAGCATTGGTCACCATCAGTGGCCTGCATGTGACCTCTTCCTCTCAATATGGTGGCTGTGTCCATTGTTTTTGGGCTGCTGCTTTTCATCGTTGCCTGCCGGCTGCTCTTTTCACCGTGGCAGCTATTGTTCTACTCGCACTGACTGTACAATATTTCTTTTTCACACCTAGTCCCTGCACTGGAGTGAGAAATGTAGCCACTGGTGTGTGTCTGGCCTGATATAGTGGAGTGTACAGTTGAATATTATTGGTCTTTCAGTGCTCAGAGTTGTTGTGAAATGTAAGTTTGAATAGGAACACCTCCATGCAAGAGCAGGCCACTTAGTGCCCTACCTCTGTGTGAAGTATCTTCGCTGACCTCCTAATAACGCACATGGCAGAATACATCACCATCATAGAGACGGATACAAATGGATGTGTGTTATTGCCTGAGCTAATAGGTGGGAGGTAATGGAGTTTATGAGGCAACCAGGTTTATTTCTCTTCCCACCACTTCAGTGCTAAACTGTCTCAGGGGGGTCTTCTCTACAGCAGCTGTCTGTGAAAGTCCTGACTCAGACTTGTCACACAATTTGTTTTGTCTGACTGATTACATTATGCTTCCACTGCTCGGAAAAAATTAAAAATGCTGGCTGAGAAAACCCGACCATTTAATTTAGCAAAAGCAAATTAAATGTATTATGTATATATTCTGTCATGTAAGTGACTTAGGCTTAGTGAAGTACTTTATTCATCACTTCACAACATAGCCTGTTCTACAAAATGGCGTGTTCTCTGTAGGAACCTCATCACAGCATAGAGAGAGAGGGTCAAAGCATTTAAACTAATGAGAACATGTCCAACCTGGTTTATATAGTATACAATATATCTGTACTGTGCACCTTTTATTACCCAGTATAAATCACATGTTCTTGGACCATGTTGTTGTTGTTGGGACTGATTATGGTCTCTTACTACCAAAGGAATATTTGCACACCAGCAGTGTAGCTCAGGGGGAACGATGTCTGTTTT